TGGTGGGTGGGGTGACCAGTGCACGTCAGCCCAGTATGGAGGTAGGTTTGAGCTTATATAGGCTGGTCACTCCCCTCCCACAACTCCAGGCTCCGCCTTCCCATTTGTGGTCAGGGAAATAAGCCATATTAACGTTGATACCTTATATTTAACTAAAGTCTGTTGTGGTGTGCCGAAACCGATGTTCAGGGGGCCTGTAAATAAAAGAGGGCAAAAAGGATATTTAACCATGCCACTTTAATACGTAATAACTGTTACAATATACATGCGAACATGGCTGTGAATTTAACTAGCTAATTCTTGAAAAGCTTTTCTTAGCTCTTTATCTGGTTGTGGTATATATAGATTGTAAGCCAATGACTTCTATTGTCCCAGTCTTTTAATTATGTGTACCAGAACATTTTGGCTTGAGGCAGAGGTAGCTGCTCCTATATGAAACGAATGGCCGGTGAAGGCTGTTGGATCGCCTCTATTTTAGGGTTTTTATATATGACATAAATTTGGATGTTGACAATGGGTTGCCATGTAAACTCAGAAGAGGAGTGGCCTTGTCTTGACCTGTACGGGCTGAAAGTGATTGGTCTAGTAACTAACAGTGCACCACTTGTTGCCTGTGGGGACTAGTGGTATGTCCACGAGTGGCCCGTTTGGTTCGTTTTGGTTGTGTGTAGGGTCAAAACATAGTGGTCCCCTACTTTGTTTAGGTCTCCCACTGTGAGTATATTGGTGGTGTCGCTGGTGTTCCCTACTGTAAATTCGTTAGGCTATAGAAACTCTTAAAATGTCAGAAACATAGCGGTTTTGGTGGTGTTGTTTGTTTCTGTTTCGAAGGGTTGTGAGTCTAACACATCAGATAAGGCTCTGAACTTTTCCCCATCTATTGGTTGTCGTCTTGTGGTTTGGGGGCCTTCCAACCTCTACATACCTCAAAACAGAATGCACCTGTCATGGTTGATTATATATTTCCTACCTGTTCTATGTTAAATTTTTTATTTATTGTGTATTAATATTGTTTTTGTATTTTATTGTACCCTAATGTAACAATGCAATGATTTGTGGACCCAGGACATACTTGAAAACGAGAGAAATCTCAATGTATCTTTCCTGGTAAAATATTTTATAAATAAATAAAAATGTTTTTAATTGGGTTTGATGATAGGAAGGTACTATGGCTGGGGTATATATTTGTAACGGAACGCTGGTCTCTCATAAACTATTTCCGCTGGTAGTCCAGGTGTGGCTCAGGAACAAGTAGTAACCCCAGGAAAAACATCCACAGTAATAGAATACTCCAACAGTGTAGTATGCACGATCAGTAATATAATCCAGCAATATCACATCATGTTTCCCAATAACTGGACGACACACAGTATCAGGAGCAGAATTGAACGAGCTTTTAATCACACAACCCCTGCTTTTATGCAATGCTCCCGTGCAAGGGAGCCACCACAATAATTAGTACATTAACCAATAAAGTACAAGGTACAACCCACACATCTCCTCCCATCAGCTTATCTGTTAACAGAATTAAAATGTACATATTTTTCCCCAAGTTCTAGATGTACCCCAAATACATGATCTGGGTGAATAACATTTTCAAAAATCACCCAGATCGGATCAGGGGTTCGGGATTTATGGGGGTTTAAAGTTTTGACAACCACACAGGCAACAGTAGCTGAAAATAGTTCCATAAGTTTTGGCCTTGCGGTCGGTCTCCGTTCATGGAATAAAAGTCACAAAATGTTTGTCATCCATGGCTATATTGGGGCTTGTGAATCCCCATGTTTGCATTAATCTTTCTACCGAACGGCGGCCCGTTCGGTAGTTTCGGCACAAATTTATGGAAGTCTGGAGGGCTCAGCGGTGTTTGCCTAGTCGAGTGTCCGATTTTAGTTCCAGACACTCGACGGCAAAACACTGCTGTTCAGGAGATTAAGATGGCCGCCGCTACGTGTGAAATTCTCGAAATGGCGGCCACCCAGGAACTTAACAGAGCGTTCGTGAGTTTCCACTTAAGAGGTAATAAAACTAATTGGGAGGTTGATTGAAGCCACACTTTGTATCAGGGTAGTCTGGTGTTCAGTAGATTTAGTTCATACGATGAATGCAATGGGTCAATATAGTTTTATGGGGACAATCAAACGAATGCTTCATACACTGAAGATATATATAGCAGCAAAGTACCGAAAGCATTTTAAACACCCAGTTTTGCAGACAGCTCAATGTCCTTTACTGCATAAGTTATATAGTCCAAAGTCTCTGCAATATTATAGTATATGTCCTTGGCTGGTTCTTAAAGGGCCAGTAGTGCCATACAAAATCCCATTAAGCCCAGACATTGTTTTTAAAGGGTCCCATCTTCCCGGGACCATAATCACTGGGCAGGCGGTGAGAAAGCAGTAGACTCTTGTACAGGGGCTAGTCCGCTACAATATTAGTGACATGTATTGTAAGCAAGTTTTAGATTCAGGTGGCAAAAAGAGGTAAAGGCCACCATAGTATCTAATGTGAACGGGTTTCGTATTTGGTATACTGTGGTAAACCTGTTAAACAAAGTGAGTGCTCGATTGTATGATCGTCTTGTGTTAGCCAATAATGCTGTGTGTGCCAGCATTCTCCCGTGTGCCATTAGTGTTGTTAGTCCAGGATGAGTTCCTGCAATGGTGGTGACCTGTTTGATATTCTCTTGGCTGAAGGATGTTGTTGGAAGAAAACCTGCAGATTGCAACAAGAAAGGGCGCTAGCTGCTGTGTTGTGTATGCCCGGAATGTGTTCACATATCAAGTGGAATTGGTGTTTTGCTGCTAACCAGACTCATGATTGTGAGGGAAGATGACCTGCCTTTGTTGATAATGTTGCTCTCTGCCATGTTGTTGGTGAGGCATTTTATGGTCTTCCCTTCCCACTGGTGGCCCCACACTAGTGCTGCTGCCACTATGGGATATATTTCAAACAGGGCAGAAGTGCTGTTAAAGGAAGGGAGAGTAGTCATTTCTATTGGCCATTTGTCCCTGAACCATTCATCACCAAAAATTGCTGTGAACCCAGTGTGTGCTGCTGCGTCTATCCATAAAACAGGTGAGTTTTCTGTAAATGGAGGGATGAAAAGATTAACCCCGTTCCAATGTGTAAGGAATTCTCTCCACATAGTCAAATCTGCCCTAGCATGGCCGGCGATTGTGATGATGCTATCATTGTGGGGTATATTTGGTAAGAGGTTAACGAGTCTTGAGATAAAAGCTCTTTCTTGTGGAATTATCCTCACTGCAAATTTCAGGGACCCAAGCAGTGATTGTAGATCTCTCTTAGAGGTAGTCCCTCTTGTGAGAAATTCCACTACCTCTGCCTTGATCCTCTGAACCTTGTCGCCTGGGAGACTCGCTTGCATAGTGAGTCTAATTGTATCCCTAGAAATGTTAAGTTGGTGGTGGGTCCTACTGTTTTTTCGGCTGCTACTGGGACTCCTAGTGCGGAAAATAGTGCTAGTGTCTTTGCCATGCTCTGTGGTATGGTATTGGAGTGTTCTACTGTGAGGAAATCGTCCAGATAGTGTATTACGACTGGGCAATTAGTGATGTTCAACAAGAGCCAACACAGTGTTTCAGCGAACAGGTCGAAGAGTTTGGGGCTACTTTTGGCTCAGAATGTTAGACAGTTAGCAAAATAATAGCGTTCCCTCCATTTTACTCCGTGCAGGTGCCACAGTGACGGATGTATGGGCAGCAGCTTAAATGCATGGGAAATGTAGTTTTGCTGATCCAAGCTGCTGCCCCAGCCTTTAAGATTGCCTGTAGGGCGTTGTCTACTGTGGCATACTGCAGTGAATATTCCTTGGATGGTATGAGAGAGTTGAGGCTAGGTAAAGGCAACAATGTGGAGAAGACAAGTTGATTATTAATCTTTTTTTATTGTTGTATGTTCCCGTAGCTATGCCCAAGGGATTGGTGCACCAGGACATAAATGGTGGGTCTAGGAATGGCCCAAGCATGAATAATTTCTCTGTTTCTAACTTCAGTAAATTGTCTACTACTGTTGGTTCTGACGTGGCTGACTGTAGGTTGTTACATTCTAGTGTGCCCGTGGGGAGTGTGATCAAACCTGTATGAAAACCTTCTGTGAACCATGTGACTAGAAATTGCACTAACTTCTGTGAGGGGTGTGCATTTAGGTAGAAGGCTAGGGTGTCAACTTGGATTTCGGTTAGCCGTTTCCTCTGGAAGAGGCGATTTGGGCACATTGTCTTGGCGTGAGCTCGGTAGCAAATCGAACAGACGTGCAACAATCTGCAGGCCCTGAAAACTGCAGCCTCCTGCATTAAAATTGTTGCACACCTGTCCTTTCCCCAAGAACACTATTGGTCTGTCAAGTTTATCCCTTAAACCTTTCTGTTCTGACCTGCTGGTGTTAGGGGAAGCGTAGCTGGTGGTAGGAAAACTGGGCTCGATGGAGCACAAGTTGATAGTGTGTGCGTTTGATGCGCAGATGGCGCACGCTGGTGGTACTAGCCCAGCAAAGTGGCGACAGAATAACTCAGTGTCCATATGACTCCAGTCTATTCTTATGTTAAACTGCGCAAACGTTGTTGCTACTTCAGAAAGATTTGTGGTAGTCATAAAAGTTAGACCTACCCTACTTGTTTCCCAGATCTACCAACTTGTGCATATACAAGTCCAGTTCCTCTCTACGTTGTGGGAAGTTTAAGCATATGATGTCCCTATACAGCCCAAATGCGAGAACAAAATCTGGTATAAACAGTTTTTTCGCCAGTCTTGGGTCTTTGGCCTTGAGCACTGCAGACAGGTCCCCGTAATTGTAGGTCTTGTTTTCTACTATGTCCTGTGATGCAATGAGTAAGGACATAAGGTTCACATCTTTCCCCTCTAGAATGTCTTTTTTGATGTTGGGTGGTACCATGTGTGCTGGTGTGATAATGTGTGTATCCGCACCCTGTGCGTTTTGTGTACCTGTGGCATTCCCCTCTGGGATGGTTTGGTTGCCAACTAGTGTATGAGTGGTATTGGGGGGGACACTGTGGCTGGTGCTGGAGTTTCACATTTCTCGACTCTCTGGTTTAGGCTGCTGATAGATGCGAGCATGGCTGCCATAGTGGTCTGAATCCCTGTGAGAGTATCAATAATTTGGTCTTGTGATCTAGACCCTGGCTGTGGATTGTCGGGGCTTGGCATCATTATCTTGTATAATTCTGCTTTCGTAGCCGTGGCCGGGTATGATAGCCCTCTATGCCTGAGTTCAGCTGCAATCTTTGGGATTGTCCAAGCTCTTAATGAACAGGGACTAGAGGGGTCTTGACTTTCTGCTGCTGTAGGAGCCGTAGTTGGAGTAGGAGGTCTAGCTGTGTATGGGCCATTTAGTACCCTAACTGCCAGTATAACGTTGTTTGGTGTACGTGGAGACCACATACCTGCTCATTTCTCAGAAAAGGGGTGTAATCAGTCATGGGGCTTCTGAGATTATTGACTTGTGCCACCTGTGAAACCAAGACTAACATTGGCGTCTTTTTTATGGTAAAGTTTGGTTTTAGGATAGATTTAAGGGATACATACCTGGGACAACAGTTGGTCCTCTACGGGTTGGCCGGTGTGGGTGGTTACTTCTAGATCTAACAGCTTAAGGGAATGAAGTGACTTTTATTTAATTTCACATACTTTAAGCATGATTTCTTCATATGGTATACCCTTGTTCGTACTTGTGATGTATTATAACCTGAAAGTCAAAGTAACGTTGCTAAGTGTTAGCTTTTTGTATGTATGAGTGGCTTCTAGCGTAGTCTTACCTCTAGTGTTTGTATCTGGTACGACTCAGATGGCTTTAGGTAATAATTATGTGTAGGTTATTCTGATTAACAAGTACCAGGCCATAGGTTAAAACGTATACTTAAAGCTTGTTATCGTGAGTGAGGAGTTTAACTAACTGCCCATATTTGTCATACTTATTTGTGACTGATTATGCTTATTAGTAGCAAGTACATACCCCTATTGATTACTGACTATGCAGAGGATTTTTATAAACATAATTGGAGTACGTTCAACGGGTGACTAGTATTTAAGCAGAGGAATTTATATAATATTAGCAGTCAACATACCGTACTATTGATGATTGACTAAGCAGAGAAATTTTATAACTATTAGTGATAATTGCATACAACAAACGATTACCGTATATACTCGTGCATAAGTCGATCTCATGTATAAGTCGAGTGCAGTTTTGTGACCAACAATTGTGAAATATGCTATGCCTCGTGTATAAGTCGAGGGTAAAACTTGGGGCTATGTAATTCTGTGATTTTTATAATTATATACACACACACTCATACAAACACACACACTGCATTATATACACACACATTCATACAAACACACACTCTGCATTATACACACACACACACTCTGCATTATACACACACACACTCATACACACATACACTCTGCATTACACACACTCATACACACACACAAACACACACACTCTGCATTATACACACACACACTTATACAAACACACACTCTGCATTATATACGGACACACTCATGCAAACACACACTCTGCGTTATATAATGCAGAGTGTGTGTTTGTGTGAATGCAGAGTTTGTGTGTATATAATGCAGAGTGTGTGTTTGTATGAGTGTGTATATAATGCAGTGTGTGTGTATATAATGCAGTGTGTGTGTATACAATGTAGAGGGTGTGTTTGTATGAGTGTGTGTTTGTGTGTGAACTGGGTGGGGGAGGGCATTTTTATTATTTTTAATTTTTTTTATTTTAATTTTTTTAATTTTAGTATTATTTTTTTATTTTATTATTTACTTTTTTAATTTTAATATTTAAATTTTATATTGTAATATTTTTTTTAAAATTATTTTAATTTTTTTTCATCCCCCCTCCCTGCTTGTTAGCTGGCCAGGGAGGGGGGCTCTTATTCCCTGGTGGTCCAGTGGATGGGCTGTATAGGGGGGGGGCTGGCAGAGAGCTGTTACTTACCTTTCCTGCAGCTCCTGTCAGCTCCCTTCTCCTCTGGTCCGGTCAGCTCCACTGCAAGTCTCACGAGAGCTGCAGGGTCAGAGCATTGCCACGGGTTACCGTGGCAAAGCTCTGCGCAGCAGTCACACCGCGAGACTTACAGTGGAAGAGAAGGGAGCTGACAGGAGCTGCAGGAAGGTAAGTAAAAGCTATCTGCCAGCCCCCAACAGGACCGCCGGGCTTGTAATGAGCCCGGCGGTCCTGGTCTGTATTATGGCAATGTAAGTTGCCATAATACAGACACTGACTCCAGTATAAGTCGAGTGGGGGTTTTTCAGTACAAATAATGAGCTGAAAAACTAGACTTATACTTGAGTATATATGGTATACTCTATGCAGCATAATTATTTAAATATTATCAGTAAATATGTTCCACAAGTGACTGTTCTCTATGCAGAGGAATTTTTATGAACATTAATAGTGATTATGTTGAACCAGCGATTAATATCTATGCCGATCAATTCTTATTACCGGTAAATACTTTTAACAAGCGATTGTGATTGATGTAGGGGATTCAAGAAACCCATTATTTTATCCCATGTTCAGTATTCTTGATTTTGTGAGTTTGCCTTTTATGTGTAATTTGCCATTTGACCAGTAGATGGCAGTTTGTTTGAATTAGAAGACCTGTTGTGTTCGTTCGTTTGTACACAGTTACGTGCGTTTGCTTGTATGTAATATATGCTGGGGAAGCAATGATATGTGTGTTAGTTTCGGTACATATGTGCGTTCGTTTGATTTTACTCTCTGTTGCCGGGTGCCTTTTTTGGCTGACCCGGAAGTTTTTACAGGTGCCCCGGAAGGCCCGTTATAGAGCGTGGAAATTTCTCCGGGCGCTGAGTAGGCACTGGTGGTGCCGTTTTTCGGGTTGCTGAGTCTGTTGTGGGCAGTCTGTGGAGCGAAACCTGAAATGTAGCCTGGGAGGTATCCTGGTAGTCTCTGGGCCTGGAAAACTGCAAAAGGAAATCTTACAGGTGCAAACTAGAACCAGAAGTGACCAGTGGACGTCAGCCCAATCTGGAGGTAGGTTTGAGCTTAAATAGGCCAGTCACTCCCCTCTCACAACTCCAGGCTCCGCCTTCCCATGTATATATATATATATATACATATACACACTGCTCAAAAAAAATAAAGGGAACACAAAAATAACACATCCTAGATCTGAATGAATTAAATATTCTTCTGAAATACTTTGTTCTTTACATAGTTGAATGTGCTGACAACAAAATCACACAAAAATTAAAAAATGGAAATCAAATTTTTCAACCCATGGAGGTCTGGATTTGGAGTCACACTCACAATTAAAGTGGAAAAACACTACAGGCTAATCCAACTTTGATGTCATGTCCTTAAAACAAGTCAAAATGAGGCTCAGTAGTGTGTGTGGTCTCCACGTGCCTGTATGACCTCCCTACAACGTTTGTGCATGCTCCTGATGAACTGGACTAAAGCATCTGCCAACTCCTGGACAGTCTGTGTTGCAAGGTGATGTTGGTGGCTGGAGGGAGACATGATGTCCCAAATGTGCTCAATTGGATTCAGGTCTGGGGAACCGGCGGGCCAGTCCATAGCATCAATGCCTTCATCTTGCAGGAACTGCTGACACACTCCAGCCACATGAGGTCTAGCATTGTCTTACATTAGGAGGAACCCAGGGCCAACCACACCAGCATATGGTTTCACAAAGGGTTTGAGGATCTCATCTCGGTACCTAATGGCAATCAGGCAACCTCTGGCGAGCACATGGAGTGCTGTGCAGCCCCCCAAAGAAATGCCACCCCACACCATTACTGACCCACTGCCAAACCGGTCATGCTGGAGGATGTTGCAGGCAGCAGAACATTCTCCATGGCGTCTCCAGACTCTGTCACATCTGTCACATGTGCTCAGTGTGAACCTGCTGTGAAGTGTCACATGTGCTCAGCGTGAACCTTCATCTGTGAAGAGCACCTGTGGACGTCGGGCCCTAATATTACCCTCATGGAGTCTGTTTCTGACCATTTGAGCAGACACATGCACATTTTTGGGCTGCTAGAGGTCATTTTGCAGGGCTCTGGCAGTGCTCCTCCTGTTCCTCCTTGCACAAAGGCAAAGGTAGAGGTCCTGCTGCTGGGTTGTTGCCCTCCTACGGCCTCCTTCACGTCTCCAGATGTACTGGCCTGTCTCCTGGTAGCGCCTCCATGCTCTGGACACTACGCTGACAAACACAGCAAACCTTCTTGCCACAGCTCGCAATGATGTGACATCCTGGATGAGCTGCACTACCTGAGCCACTTGTGTGGGTTGTAGACACCGCCAGCATTCAAAAGTGACCAAAACATCAGCAAGGAAGCATAGGAACTGAGACGTGGTCTGTGGTCACCACCATGGTCTTGCTAATTGCCCATAATTCCCACCTGTTGTCTATCCCATTTGCACAACAGCATGTGAAATTGATTGTCACTCAGTGTTGCTTCCTAAGTGGACAGTTTGATTTCACAGAAGTGTGATTGACTTGGAGTTACATTGTGTTGTTTATGTGTTCCCTTTATTTTTTTGAGCAGTGTGTATATATATATATATATAAACAAAGAGGGCTGCACTCACCTGAACATGCATACCTTATAGAGTACTGCTTGACATTGTGACAGGCTTATGCAATATATGATCACGTAATGTAACTAAACCCCCATTATTTTTTGCCTAGGTGAGGTGTTTTTAAATAAAACTATTACAATCTGTAAGATTTGAAATCATTGTTTAGTGAATATATATATATATATATATATATATATATATATATATATATAACATAATCTACATAAACAAGTTGGGTACATTTAGTTCTTGAATGTATAAATGTTACACAATCCTTCTCAGTTCACCTCATAAAGAAGGATTGTGAAACATTGATATAAAATAGGCCTTATGAACCTTGAAGACATCTTTACTAATGTGGACTTTCTTGAATTTAGAGGATGATTCACTCAGAATTAAATATCTTCAGCTGGTTTGTTCTGTTAACCATCCTACTTCACTTTGCAAAGAATGAGTTCCACTCCTTTTTACAAAGTGTGCATTTTACATCTGCATTTATGATGTGGATATAAAGATTAAGTACTAATGCTAAAATTTTTAAAGTTATGTATTTGTACAGTTTATGTATAAAAATAACTTTGCAGAGAATTCTATATTCATGCTAAAGAAAGGAGTAGATTTATCTCACAAAAGGATTTACGCAATCAATCATCTTTTTTTTTTCTATTCAGTTATGTTTCTATATATTTATTTTTCAGTAACTGTTTACTATGAGTACTATGACAACTTTAGTTATTAATTAAATGACATTAGGTTTTCTTGTAATACTATGCAAATACGCTCAAATATAAACAGGAGAGAATAT